CCAGACCACCTTGACGGAAGGACCCAGATGTACAGCCTTTCGGCGAAGGCCTTCGAAAAGCGGGGATAGATCATCACATTCTCCGGCTTCATCCTTAGATGCAGACTCAGCCACCAGACCTCACGGAAGCCAGCAGCTGGGCTCAAATCGCCGTTCCCCAGCTAACGCAGAGGGGAAGCTTCGCTCAAGGCGTTCGCTTGCATATTCAGGAAGGCGTTGAAGGCGGGCATTCAAGGCACTTTCGGGAAGGACACCCGAATATAGATCGTCATTTAACAGAGTCAAGGGACTACTCCAAGAGCCGCGAAAGGCTGTCAATAGTCTCGATCTCTCGTACATCACCACATCGATCACCTCACAGGTTACCACACACAAGTCTGCACACAAGTCTACATCACCTTCCCTAGAGTGGCAGTGCGACGCAGACATACCTGATGAAGGAAGACGGCGAGATGCTATCACCCTACCTCCGATCGACCCGATTGCTGCGGGTAGCACAGAATCTAGACATAGCATCCCATAAAGCCACAAAAGTTCAGACACCATAATTGCCGAACTTTCCGCGCACAGAAAGTTTTCCACGCATCAACATGGACCCCTTCTTCAATGCTTAAGACATCGATGAAAACTACAAGTTGATCATCGATATCAACAATAAGAACTACAATCAGAATTGGTTCAGTTGAATCCATGGCGAGATCGTATGTTCGTTGGCCTAAATAGATCTAGAGCGATCATTGAGACACTTATCGCCAGATTTCAGTGAACACGACTTCTGAAAATGATAAGATGATCCACTCGGCCCTACTTATGCAGAACCAGCAAGTCCCAGGCGCAGCCTCGGCGAAGAGCTAGAGCCTCACCAGCTACAAGGGACGCTGGAGGAGGAGTAAGCGCCACGACCTCCACATCCTGTTAAACACAGAGGCCATTCAGCTGAAGCAAGCGCTCTCTATATATATATATATATATTCTAATCGGACTTTGACTCGATACCTTCGCTGAAGATTAAGCGAAGGCTAAATTAACTCAAGTCTACTTCACCAGTAGATCTAGAAGGGATACTTCCTGAGAGCTTAGATGCAGTCTCCGGCGTTCACCGAGGAAGTCTCCTCCAAGGTCTCCATATACTAGCCACTTAAGTCATATATGGCTACTCCTCAGTCCGTTCAAGACATCGCATAAGTTGTCTATCAACTGTATGCCAGATGCCGCCTATAAGCCTCACGCGAAGACAATTGCACAGGCTATTTACAACACAGAACGGTCGCTGTATTAATTTGTCAACGGCGTTTCATAGATCTTCACAGAAATCAACTATTCGTATAAATTGCTAGTATATGCAATCCCGGACGACGGCTATACGATTATCTACATATGACCATTACGCGCATATCTGCAGACAATTCAATATCGAAATTGAACAGCAGCCTTGTTACAGCGAGTATAACTCATAATTCGTCAACATTTCTGAGAAGAAATATGTACAACAAATTCAGCTTTAATTCTACAATTATGGCGATACATTCATGTATACAGTCCACAAGCTGACAACTTACAAGTTATTGTACCTTTATATATAAAGAAATCGGAATTATATTCAAAACTGAAGCACTTTCACGACAGCCAGGAAAATAACCTACCCAGCATTAATATTACAGAGCGAGGTATTTTTTACCGAAGCTTTTCGCTAGCGTTTACCATTAATCCTCGAAACACGTGGGTCACTTTCGGGTAACTTCGAAAGTTCACGATGAAGACCGACGATTGTTCTAATATCAGCGACGGCACTATATTATACAAGGTTCCTTTTCCTGCTACACGGTGACATCACAGCGCTGGTACTCTACAGAATCAAAATGCCTTATTCTGATTGGACCCCGATGAACAACGCCCTACACGAGAGGTCGAGCATAGTTCACAGTTCAAGACATAGGTTGCAAGTGACAACTTTATATCAATGAACGAGCAAGCCTCCTTACAGCCCAGTTAACCTGAACCTTCAGGATTAGGCTGCTTTCTTCAGGTTAGAGACCTCCCGTCAAGTTTGGAACAAGGGCACAGCAGTCGTAGCGATTTTACATAAAGTTCATCGAGGACACAAACTCGGTTGTGCACATACATCGTCAAGGACATCGCGCGATTTACCTAGACGACGATGATACAAGTGGATCGAAATCCACAGCGTTTCAGACCCTACGCCTGAATTTCATCATCAAGCTACTAACACAACTAGATGGTTAGTAAACCTACTAAGTTTCTGTTTGGAGAATAAACGGAAGTTTCAATGCACCAACTTGGGGATATGAATATAGTGCTACAACACCTCACAAGTGAGGTTTATGAACATGCCTGGATGACATACTTGGACTCCATGATACGATGATGCTATCACGCTGGCCAGCAAGAGCACTGTAAATTTATCTCCACCAAACCAAACAGGAAGAAAAATACAACAGATTTTTTTCCTCTATCATCAACTTACGCAGAGTGTAGTCTCACGTACTATATCTCCGTTTGGATCAGAACTGTCATACTACGTGCATACAAGACAGATGGACCTAATCCGACCCTCCATGAGCTTTAATACTCTTGATATTAGAGCTAACTTCTACAATTTCATCTACACAAATGTTATTTGAAATAATGAAGGGTTTATTACTGTAGATCCGATATGGTGGTTGCCAACCATTATCTGAGAGATATCACCACCGAGGACATCTCAGGTATCCACCAATTTGATCCCATGGTCCTTGCACAACAGTTGACAGTTCCTCGAGAGAAGATAAGTCAATCTTACAGATTTTTTACTTATCTTATAACAGTACTAAATAGCTTCATGCTTTATATAATTTGCTTAAGCTCGTTTTTATCATCACAGTGGTTACATGATAAATGCATTAGCTAACAAACTCTACAGAGTTTTTTGGCTATTATATACTTAGCTTAAGTCAAGTATATTTTAAGCATAGTACTATACTCATATTGTAAAAATACATTAGCTAACAAACTCTCTGGAGTTTTGCTATTATATAGGTAGCTTAAGCTCATTCATATCTTAAGCTCAGTACTATGTTTATATCATATAACTATATTAGCTAACAAATTCTAAAGAGCTTTTGCTATTTGGCTTAAGTTTCATCATATCTTAAGCAATATGGTTACATTATAACATGTATTAGCTAACAAACTCTATGGAGTTTTTGCTATTATATATGTAACTTAAGCTTATTCATATCTTAAACGCAGTACTATGTTTATAGCATATAGGTATATTAGCTATCAAAACTCTAAAAGAGTTTTTTGCTATTATATATTGGGCTTAAGTTTTCATCATATTTTAAGCTTTATGGTTACATTATATCATGTATTAGCTAACAAACTCTACGGAGTTTTTGCTATACATATGTAGCTTAAGGTTTCTTCATATCTTAAGCTCAATACTATGTTGATACCATATAAGTATATTAGCTATTAAAACTCTAAAAGGTTTTTTGCTATTATATATTTAGCTTAAGGTTTACTTCATATCTTAAGCTCAATACTAGGTCTAAATCAACATAATAAAATGTATTAGCTATCAAACTCTACGGAGTTTTACTATTATATATATATAGCTTAAGTTTAATCATATCTTAAGCTCAGTACTATGTTTATAACATAAAAAGTATATTAGTTAATAAACTCTAAGGAGTTTTTGCTATATACATTTAGCTTAGAATCTAATCATATCTTAAGCTTAGTACTATGGTTACATTATAAATCTATTAGCTAATAAGCTCTACAGAGTTTTTGGCTATTGTATATGTAGCTTAAGTTAATTATATCTTAAGCACAGTACTATACTCATATTGTAAAAATATATTAGCTAACAAACTTTACTAAGTTTGGCTATTATATATGTAGCTTAAGTTAATTATATCTTAAGCACAGTACTATACTCATATTGTAAAAATATATTAGCTAACAAACTATACTAAGTTTGGCTATTATATATGTAGCTTAAGTTAATTATATCTTAAGCACAGTATTATACTCATATTGTAAAAAAATATATTAGCTAACAAACTCTACTAAGTTTGGCTATTATATATGTAGCTTAAGATAATTATATCTTAAGCACAATACTATACTCATATTGTAAAATGTATTAGCTAACAAACTCTACAAAGTTTGCTGTTATATATATATAGCTAAGCTTATTCATATCTTAAGCTCAGCACTGTCTATATCATATAAATATTTTAACTAACAAACCCTAAAGGGTTTGTTATTATATAATTAGCTTAAAATTAATCATATTTTAAGCTTGGTGCTATGTTTATATCTTAAAATTATTTTTAGCTAACAAACTCTAAGGAGTTTATACTAGCATATTAACAAGCTTAAGTCTATTAGTCTTAAGCATTGTATTAATATTATATATACTTATCATAATAAGTACATTGTAATAACCTCTATATGGCAGCTGATAAGCTGGCAGCAGGAATTCATCAGTTCAATGCCTTTATGAAGTTCCCATAGGGTTATTACAATCATCACAGTTCAAATCACTAATTATTAAAATCCAAAGTATTATATATTCCCACCTCCGCTCTGTTGGGATTCTACAAGCAAAAGGCATGAGTCAGGATAAGGAAAAATATGTAATTTTTTGAGTAAAATTGATATTTTATACTTATCCTGACTCATGAGGTCAGCCCTCCCATCCTCCCCAAATAACACTTTGGATTTCCCTGTAAATTCAAATGTTGGGCTCAGTATATGAGGAGAGAGTGAGGCACATGGGTAGAGGTGGCGCCCTCGTTCACGCGCTTGTGGAAGGGAGGTAACTCGTGGTGTACTAATTAGTGATTTTACATTGAAGGGAACTTCAATTAGGGAGATACAAGTGTTCCACTATGTTCGCAAGAGGAAGGAGACAAGCAAAAAGAGCATGAGTCAGGATAAGTATAAAATATCAATTTTACTCAAAAAATTACATAATTGTTGTTTTCCAGTAAAAGTCATCTGCTAACGAGTCAGGATGTCGTCTACATCTCAAAAACACCGGAACTTTGTGTCAGAGCCAATGGGAGAAAAGCTTGTGACTGAACTAGCTGGAATAGGACCGGTTCTTGGCGGAAGACTCAGTGAGGCAGGGTTTGATAAGGTGAGATTACGCTATGTCTTACATTTCAGTAGACTGAAGAATGAGATAAAAAATATGTCTGTATCTGTAGAGATAAATATACTCAAAGAGTTACCGTGACACACATAATCTGCATTAAATGTTTACTGTTGCAATAAGATCTTATGACATGGAAACACAAGTGTTTCAAGTTGGGGTCACATTCAGTTTGTACAGTCAGCTCTCGTTAATCCGACACTCATTAATCCGACAATCACTTTAATCCGACAAAAAATTAGGGAACCTTTTAAAACAGTGATAATTACTCTCGTTAATCCGACATTCTCGCATTCCGACTCCGACACACCAATCTAGCAACTGATTATTGTAAATACATTGTAAAAACATTCGTTAATCCAACAATCAACACAGCCGGTCGGATTATCCGACCGTATACAGACAATCACACGTGAGTAGTAATTAGCGTGTGCCTTACTGGCTGCTTGACACCGACGTCGGTGAACATCACACTTGTTAATTAGGAACACAGGATAATTAATTGAGACGATTTAATCAAGAAATAACAGCAGAGCGAGATGTATAAAATGTTTACAACCGACATGAGTTTTCATCACAAGATGTTTGTCACGAGTACACCACCTGCTAAGCGACCCCTTGTAGAAGTTACGCCATTGATCAAGAAAGAAATCTCCTTTTGAAGAAAGACAAACCCCAGACAACACAACAAGAAGTCATCACTTTTGCTGAGCAGAAGTTTGATGTGAAGTTTGGACGATCAACCGTATCTGACATCCTGAAGCAGTCTGCTTAGTGGTTGAGCGTCTCTCACGACTGATTCCAATGCTTGAGCTATCTGAGGCCAAAACATCGTTGAACACTTTGCAAACATTTCTGACACACCACTTAGACGTGTTTGATGTTAATGACCATCAAAGACTTTTTCAAGTTATAAATTATATATGTTATGATAAACGCCTGATTGTACATTAGACGTCCACATGTTATTATGGAATTAGTTGTATGGAAACTGTAACATATTCAACATCCGGGTCATGATGGCAGCTGATATGTGGTAAAAACAAACGTTAGTTTTGTGCAAATGTGGTCATGAAATAGATATGAAACTGTTCGCTTATGTGATTATATATGTATGTTATGCCATCTATGAATGTTAATAAATGATAACAAGTATGTACAGTGAAGCCCCGTTAGTCTGGACTCTGATAATCCGGATGTCTAGGCTCCCGGACGATTTTAGCTTGTTACCAATCTATGCCTATTTAATTTGCCTCGATAATCCGGAAATTCGGTTTTCGGAACCGGACGGTAAGTAGCTGTAACCAATCAGTAAAATAAACAGTAAATTGCTTCACAGACCGGATGCTCTAAGTCGTGTTCATGAACCATAACAACACCCCCCGGCGATGTTTACTTAACTGGCCATAAACAATAAAAACTCGGGTTGTTGTTTCAATTAGACATTAAAAGCTCCCGACTGAAGATGCTGTACATTTACACTTTGATTGACAGCACAATACAAAGGCGTGGATGACAAGTGAGCTGTTTTGTGATTGGTTAATGTACTTTGACAGACAGATGCGGTCACATGGACTTAGAGTGATTTTGCTTCTCGACAACGCTGCAGGTCACAAATGTGCTTTGCTAACTTTGCGAAATGTGACCAAATACCACATCTCATATTCAACCGATGGATGCAGGAATAATTCGGACATTCAAGGCATACTACAATAGATCGCTTGTTAGACATTACCTCACCTATAATGGAAGGACGTGATCAGACACGTCGGATCAACATGCGGATGCCACTTGGTAAAATTATTGATGTGATGAATTCAATGAGGAAGGTTAAGCAATGAAACAATGAAAGACTTTTTGCTATGACTATAGATTATTGTTGTACTTGCTATTCATCGTTTTATAAGCTTTACATTAAATGCTTATTTGTTTTATCCAGATTCATGTCGTTTTTGTTATAGTAAGGGAAGCAACTCTTGCTTGAACTTGGGTCTTGATTCAGTAGTCCGGACTATTCGCAATCCGGACGAATTTGTTGAGAAACGCAACCGTCCGGATTAACTGTATTGTTAGTATTTTTTATTTCTGTGAATATTTTTACATACGATGAAGATAACTAAAGTACTGTTGGAAATGCTAGAAAAATGCTTTTCAGCCTTAATATCTTTATAAAGGTGATAAATGTACCATGTTGTCAATATATCAACTCGCCTATAGTGTACCTAATTTTTAGTTCAATCGATTTAACATTCCCATGCATTTAAAGCGAAGTTTACAGGAGAGAATTTGGTACCAAAACAACAACTCAAGATTTTCTCATAGTTCAACCACAGAAATCTGAAATAGTCTTTACATTAATGCTAATAATACAGGCGGAGTAAAAATATGAATTAGCGTTTTTCTTAAACAAACAAATGTTGAATGTTTCTGTTACCTTAATTTATTATCGGTTCTTTATTGAAGAAATATTAATATAAATGTTAAGTCTTGATAAATAAGTTTCCCGTCATGCATGCACATCTTTATCACAGCGTTCACTATGGCCAACTATTTGCAGTCGATTGTTTCAAAGGTTTATAAGTTTTTTGTGCGTTTAAAAGACAGAGGTATACCTTTCATTACTTTAGAAAGGGTATATTACAGAACTTGTAGAGCTGTTGGTGTGTCTTACCAACAAGTTTACAATATTGTAAACAAATCAGATAAGACAGGGACCGTCTCAAGAGCAAAACCAGAGCAAAACCGGGACATAAAACCATCCTTGACAACTTTGACAAGGGAGTACTTAGACGGGCGGTCTACAAACTTTATGAGAAGAAGAATATATATTCCAAAGAAGCTACACCAGTGACTTCGTTAAATCTTTGGCCAATGTTCACAACTAGATTAAACTGACCGAATTACATCCATATTTTTGCAATGAAATATACTGTTGACTTGCAAAACATTTATTAAAACGTTGCACATTTCTACAATCAATCGATAAGATAACACAAGTGATAGGATTCTTTCCAATGTACAGTAATTCGTATATTTATTTCAAAACAAACACACACACACACACACACACACACACATATATATATATATATATATATATATGTGAAATGTGGATATCACATGATCCCTTACATAACCAACACGTATACTATACGTACACATATTCAACATTTTGAAGAAAACATCTATTGAGATGACCCCTCGCCCGAGCTTGTGCTCAGGTGTCAATTTCACCTGTCGATACCGTGCATGCTGATGACGTAATACAGGCAGTTAAAGTTTGTATCAAATAACGTCCCTTTACCGCTTATTTTTCTAAGTTTTTGGTATTTTCATCAGTAAAAACACATTTTAGGGCATGTCTCAAAATTTATTCCCTCAGTCTACATTAGGTAGATGTTTCTTAAAGTGATATTTGTTATTTAAGTAACTGTTATACCTCTTAATTTTAAATATGAGTCAAAAAGCATTTTTCTAGCATTTCCGACAGTACTTTAGATCTACTATTTCTGATATGCATCCAACAGTATGACGATCATGACGTTTAGTAAACATTGATATTTTCACACAAATACATTAATCCGACATTTTCATTAATCCGACATTTTCGTTAATCCGACATATTTCTCTGCAACCACAAGTGTCGGATTAACGAGAGTTGACTGTATATGTAAGGACAGTGTTCCTGGCACATGCAAATAAGCCACAACACAAAAGGGGATTCACAAGCAAGGTCACGTGGTCAGTGATGAGTGTCCACCTTGATGCAGGCCTGGCTTCTTCGCTTCATTGAGGCCACTTAATGTCGCTGAAATTCCATATGAGTTGGAGGATTTGGATAGTGTCACAAATGTGGCTCCATTTTCATCCCAGATGTGTCCATTGTAAGGATGTCACGATACATAAGTTTCATGAATCCATATGTATCACGATACCCATGTTACAAATTCGATACGTATCACGATACCTATTTTCTTGGCATTATTGCATAAATTTAGTAACATTTTTACCATTAATTTTTCATATTGTATCATTGTCCATGGAAAGATCAACATTTTTTATTCTCAGAGATTAAAAAGTTCTAATTTCTCATATTAGTGCATGAAAAATAATCATTTATAACTCTCATAGCATCAAAAAATATGATACAATTGCAAAATGTAAACGATACATAAACATATTAAAAGGTATACTTTCAAAACTAAATATCGATACAGTTTTGAATGTATCGCTAATTGTATTGTCTTAGAAAAAGTATCGATGTATCATGGCATCCCTAGTCCATTGGGTGACATATGAGGTGATCTTGCAATTCAAACAACAGTAGCTTCACTGGTTTCATTTGACCATTTTAACTCACTGTTTCAATCGTTGAATTACCCAAAAAAATCATTTACTAGATTATTGACACTGGGTATATTTACGATAGTTACCTAAGTTAACCTACAGGTACAGTTAAGACATTTAATTCTAGGTATGATGTAGGTTGAACAATTAATGACCCTTGAAATATCTGTCTGTTTAGTATCCAGGGTAGTCGAAGTCTCCTTGATCATGTTCAGCTTTTCTGTGGCACTCAGCAGTGAATTAATGATGTAAAGTAAGGCCAGAAATGCTTAGAAATGCTTTTGGGCTTCAATATCAATATGATGAATTTGACACAAGATAAAAGCACATATATGATACAAGTACGACTTTACCTAGTTGGATATTAAAGCTCAGATGAAAAAATGCACTTGAGGGGTGACTTCACAGGAAGAAATTTTGGCGTTTTAACAACATTCGTAAATATTGTAAGTACAAACTGTAGTTTTGAAATACAGACTATAATTATTCATATAGCCTCAACTAATTAAATTACATAAATGATTGTAAAAAGTTTTGTTTTTTTGAACATCTATATGTGAAAAAGATGGAACTCTTGTAGTAGTTTAGTTATATTCAAAATAATTACGTAATTAAATTTATACCAGTATTTCATACTGAAGAAACAAAGGGGGCAACCTCTCATCAGCTATGACAGGGTTTACTATAGAATGTGTAAAGCCCTTAATTTGACATATAGTCAGGTTTACAAAGTTGTGAACAAATCAGTTACCTCAGGGGTCATGTCAAAATCAAAACCAGATAGGAAACACAAACTGGATAGCTTTGATATGGGTGTCAAATGCCGTGCAGTTTATAAACTGTTTTTCGATATTTTACAAGTAATCATTATGATTAGGGAATGGTACATCGTGATTACTCATATGCCATATTAGGTCTAGGTGGTATGAATGATTATATATGAGTTTTGAATCTGAAATATCATCCATTATCAAATAATTACCAAAAAGCATTTTCCAAGCATTTCTTGCCTTACTTTGGTATCAGTGACTATTGACAAGTATAAGCGAGTTAGGATAAGTAAAAAATGATATTTTACTCATGTGGGTATGCATGCTAAACTGCAGTATGCTCTCTCTCAGTTGGTAGCACTAAAAGAAAACTGGCTTAGTGTTGATAATCTGTTACTTGAAAACAACATTACACTCCTTCTCACCTCCAACAATTCATTGTTTATTGTTTTTCAGGCATACGTTGTTCTTGGCCAGTTCCTGGTGTTGAAGAAAGATGATGAGTTGTTCCTAGAGTGGCTGAAGGAGACGTGTTCTGCTAATTCCAAGCAAGCAGGGGACTGCTATACATGTCTGAAAACCTGGTGTGATTCTTTCTTGTGAGGTGCCTGCCCTGTCATATCATGCTTCTGTCCACATGTACTCGTGCTTACACTTAATTTGGGCTTCCTTGGTCCAAGTTGCACAGCACAATCCTCTTTTGTTAGAACATTTATTTGCGTGGTGACATGGTATACAGCTGACATCTGATAGTGGGAACCTGATACAGTTTTACAAAGCAATAAACTCTATGGACCGTGGAGCAAAAAATAAAAGAAATTGTTCAAGATATATAATCCAGGCTAGTAGGCGTGTATCTCCAAATGCAGTATCCCTTTAAAACCTGCTGTGATTTGTTTGTTCTGGACAACATTTGCAGGAATGGATTATTTTAAGTTGTTAATATGCTTGTCATGAACCACATTCATTTTCAATGTACAGCCTATGTAGCTGCCTTGTTTATTATGCTTGCTTTGGTAGGTTTAAAAACACCATAAGACAGACATTCAGCACTTTGAAACAGCTTGGACCCAGACCTATCTGAAATAGTAGTTACATACATTTATAGTATTGATTGTATTCAAGGAACCATTAGGCATTTCACTTGTAACTTTTTAATGGAAGAACCCTAATTCCTTAACATTTTTACACTAAGGATTAAATACCTTTTGCTCTCAGAATATCTGGCATGACATGCTTGTTTTGAGGAAAATGTTGTACAGACTGACTGAGTGTGATTATTCCCAAGGCAAGAAACAAGAGAAAAGCTTTCCAAGGGAAAGTGTAAGCTGAAGTGCAATAATTGTTTTTGTTTCGTTGTTATGTGAAGCAAACTGATCTGACAAGTAAGGAAAAGGGATATATTTAATACTAAGCTTAGTAGGCCATTCACACAAGATACATTGTTGTACTGTGCTGACACAGGGATTCAATTGTTCTCTGTACACACCGATACACGAAGGAAATTGCGGTAATTGAGACATTACATATGTACAGTAAGTCAAATGTGAGTTTTCCTTTTTATGTTGTGGCAATGTTCAATAAATTCTTATCATGATATCTGTGTTATTTTCATTGTATTTTGATTACATACAGAGAGAGGCTTGCATTAAAATGTGTCTTTTGTGGTTGTATAACATCAGCATCTCAAGTGAATGTTCTGCAGCTGATACTTATTGTCCTCTAGAAGATCCGGGTTAGGGTTTCAGAAGCTTGTTAGGAGGCAACTAATGGGATCATGTGGTCAGGTTCACTGGCTCTGTTTATCCAGGTCATTAAATCCCACTTGCACAGATCAATGCCCATGCTGCCCCGTCAAGGGTTGGTTTTACAGACTGCCATCACAAACCTGTAATGCTGATGCAAGTTCGGCCATTACCAAACAGAAGCTATGGGTGTGTAGTATTTCCTTGAGAGTTTTTATTTATTAGGATAAAGTCGTCATCCATAAAAGAAAGTAAATTTTGTTTGTTTTCCAAATTGCCTTTCAAAGACTTGGATGTGGCTGTTCATAAGGCAAAGCAGGGCATGTTGTTGCCATGGCCAGGATGAAAAGGTGTTTGCTCGCTCAGCCTGGCTGGTGCTGGGGTTGAAATAATTATTTGAAAGATTTGCTCTGGTTAGCATCCATGGTCTTTTAGGGCCATACATACTCTGGGGTTCCATGTGGTCTGGAACTTGTCTAACTATGACATGCCGACATGGTATAATGTGAAGCGATCTTCAATTTTCAGGTGAAAGGATATAAACCAATCATTAATTGTTAAGTTTGATATACACTGTTGGGGCACACATGGCCCAGTTGTCTGAGCTGTGACAAGCTTTTTATAGAGTTGCCTCCCTTGGCCACACCAAACGCTAATGAGTGATGTTTCGAATCCTGTTTGGTGTGATTTGTATGTAGATTTGTCATCACTTGACCCAGACTTGTGGATTCATAAAAGTGGGAATTGTATCAGACCTGCTTCCCCCACACTGTAGTCCATGAAGAGAATGGTTTGAGTAGTATAGGGAATGATAGTTTTTGACCAGTCCCTAATAAGTCTTAATTTAATTTATTAAGGCTCAAGCATTGATGAAAAGAATGAGCCTGGGTGAATGAGAGAGCATCATTGATATGCATGCAAAATTTGAAGAATATCGATCCAGAATAGTTTCCTGAGACATTAATATTTTTTTGCTGCCACATTCTTTATATCCCGCCGTATGCTGTGTTCTGCTGTTCGAGGGCCGACACCATTTTTGTCACGAGATAGTGCTCTTTGTTGTCCGTTAGTCCTGGGGAGAGCCGAGTGATGTTGAGATTCCAGTCGGTTGAGATAAGCACGATCAGTCCATGTGTCGCTGACCCGCCTTTGGTATCGATGAAATCACCCAGGTAGTTGTTATTGCATCTGGTGGCAGTAGAAAGCACCTTCGACAGCGTTTGTAAATGCTTTTCAGTTGCCGAGGCGTACAGTTTGCCGCCTATCAGTATTTGTCAAATTCTGTGCATGTCCCCGGAGGTCGGAGATCGCCATGTTAAGCGCATTTTCTCAATCGCATGGTTGTTCCTTTACCAGAAGCGTGAGTCATTGTATGTGCAGCGTTGTGCTGGAGATGAATCCGATATTTACTGGATTATGTTTAACACGCAAACCCGACATTTTGAATCTCGCGGTAATGGTACCTCGGTTTAATTTTTTGTACCGCTATGATGAAAACAATTCGGTTCTGTCGTGGTTGCTTTCTTGTTTTCACCGGCACGGGCTCAGCAGCGTGGAAGGTCCGTACGCTCCGCAGACACGGCCAGTTGTTGGAATATGAAAGCGAGGCTCGGCAATTTCCCGTGTAGGTGCGGTAGTTCGTGGTATTTCAGCTGACGGCAAGTCGAGTGTTCAGCAGCCACTGGCGCCTGACTCTCAAGTTGTTGTTTTCCGTTGTTCATTACATCACGACCGTGCCACACGAGTCGTTCACTTTGAGTTCGGCTCCCGCGGGTTTGAAGATATCAGCGTTCAGCAAACAATACGCCGTGGTAGCTGTCGGTTATTGGTTACAGGCATTGAATGGCGCATCAGCTTGTTGCTGCTGATGTTGGTCCATCGTGGGTAGTGGTGGAGATACCGAGTGTGACTTCAAGTTGACCCGATGTGTTATCTACTCAGCGTGCAAGGTTGGCAGCTGGCTCTTTATTCCTTCATGTACATATCACACCGCTGCATTCCGACCCTGATGCAATTCTGGCAGAATCAACTGTACTTTGCGACATGGGTGCTGCTGGCTTTGTGTGGTGTGACATTGAACGATACCGTCGTGAGACCGCTGAGTCGGGTCCGTGTTCTCACTTCCGTGTACTTCCAGATCAGGCGTATGTTTGAAGAATACCGAACGATCGTTTCCGACAAGGCGTGGAATGCCATAGATAATCCACACGTTAAGGCGACGTCACCGAACCGCGAATAGCGGTGAATTTGAGATTGATCGAAGATGGCCAATTAGCGCCGATAGAGTGAATCCGCGATTGACGGTATTCCGTGATGGTGGAGCGCTCTGCAGAAAGTAGTCGAGATGATTTTATCAAAGGTTTACCATTCCGGGACTTTGCTCTATTGAGTAACAATGAAAGGAGAGATGATCGTATGAACTTTAAAGGCGGTTGTTGCTTTCACCGTTCAAAGGTTGAGGAGCCTCAATTTACGTTGGAACACTGGAAAATATATATGCTGGTTACTTGAGAAAGGTCTTTCATGCCGACGTGAATGCGGCAGAAACAGTTCGCGTAAATCGAGGGTGAACAAAGTTAAGTGGGCTACAACAACTAAATCGCCATAAGCCACCAGCGATCAAAAGTGGAAGTGAAGACCTGTGGCGTCAGTAATGTGGACTCCACAGCATATGGGTGAAACAGGCACATGGCGCCAAATTCCTGACACCAGAAGAAGAAGAAACCACGCCAGCAGCAGCCTAATCCTCCGCACGTGCAGGTGAAAACAATCAGCGCACAAGGACGCATAAAACAGCTCTGGTGGTCGGCGCGACACTGCGGTTGGGTCATTACTCATTTGGTTAAACATTCCTTAGTGGAAACATACACCTGTCTGGCCGCCAGCCACGGCCACAAGCGAAGACAAATATGTTTTGACCCACCCATCTAATGGCCAGACATTTTCGGCAGACCCGGCAGCCAGGAGTCGCTCCTGCCTAAGATTCCTGGAAGCGCCTCTCGGCTTTTCCAGCCAGTCTTGTGAGCATTCCTAGGGATTTCAAATGTATTTTTATCCATTCTTTCACACCTTTTTACTGCTAGTCGCAGGGTGGAGGTTGATGGACTCTGGGTGCCACCACCGGTCAAAGAGAGCGACCAAGGCTCCATATAATGAACCCCAGTGCCTCTGTGAGCGCTGGCTTAATAGTGATACCTTGTTCCGTGAACAGCATTCGGATCCTGTTGGCCAACGTGGTGTCCTTTAAGACTTCGGTCGATGGTTTCCGTTAACGCTACTTGATTTGTGATCGGGTTGGCTTCCGGTTGGAGGAAGCAGCTTCAATCAGGTCCGCTGCGCCTTCAGGTTACCAGCACAATCTTTTCTCTTTCAATGATGTTTTTCGTGGCCTCATCGTTCTGTACCTGGGCGAAGTTTCTTTCTTTCAGGTTGATGTGTCGCCGATTTTATTCAGTTTACCCCTGTTTTCTACGAGTTCTCTGCGTACGTTTTTCAAGGCTTGATCAAGGCAAAAGGGAAATTCAAAACCGGACGGGAGTTACGTTCCAGTACTTGTCAATACTTTCGAATTAGGTCTCTCACTTCTTTGGCATGTTGGGGACGTCCTCAGATCGTCTCAGGCGATTGTCGCTCGAGTTCGGTCCATACGCTTTACCTTTTAGAAAACTGAGGGAACGCTTGGCGTCAAAGCGCATGGCCAGTCAGTGACCATCACCAACAATCCGAGCACGATCAATCAAAACCAAAAGCGGCTGGTTGGATTCCCCAACCTGGAGTGCGAGAATGGCGTCATCGTCCCCGGAAGATGCGGTTCGGTGTAAGCGTTAACATGTCGCTTTGACTTCCAATAGCGACTAACTTACGAACTGCGTTCTGAACCTCGGTCGTGCCATCGTCAAGAAAACCAGCATCAAAATCGAAAGCTGGGAGCGAGGTGCTGAGCATCGACGACAGTTTACTCGTTACATGGACCTCTAGAAACCATTAGCGAACAAAATGACATGGGTGTATCAAGGCGTCTGTCTGTATAACTGTAAAGCAA